CTTTAAACCAATATTTTATTATGTGAACATATCGATTAACATAAAGTGGGTATCTTCCAAGCTCACCATAAATTGCTGCATTACAAGAGCTTATTTTCACACCAAGAATTAACTTGCAAAATTTCAAGTGTAATCTCTCTATATCTTTAGATTTTGTAAATCCCCAGACTGGACAAGCATAATTTATGATAGAGCCGACAAAAGCATCAAATAATTGTAAGGAAACAGAAGGGGATATTTCATACTTGTTAATATTACATATTAAAACATTCATTGCTTTCAAAGCTTTACCTATAAGATATTGATTGTGAAGTACAAAGGACCCAGTGTAATTAAATACTACACCTAAATAATTAAAATCGTCAACAATTTCCAAAGCTTCATTATTATAAAACCAACGTTCATGAGGAAGTACTGGTCCTCTATTCCGAAAAACAACTATTTTAGTTTTGGCGGTATTTACCTCTAGGCCCCATAGATTACAGTATTCAAATAAAGAGTTTAATCTTTGCTGTAAATCCTCTTGCGAGTTACCAATTATTACCATATCGTCAGCGAATAACAATATTACTATACATATTTCAAATATATTCAATCCACAATCGACCGAGTTTTGTAAAAATAATTCTAGGTCTTCCAAAAATAGTGCAAACATGGCGGGCGAATTATTTTGGCCTTGTCGTAGCCCAACCGATAAATTGAAAAACTCTGAAAATGTATTGCAATGTTTAACACACGACTTAACAATTGAATACATTGATTTAAAAGTTCTAAGTAACTTCCCATCTAATCCCATATTAAACAATTTATACCATAATGCATTGCGGTTCACAGAGTCAAACGCCTTTTTTAAGTCGATAAAAGCACAAGGTAATCGCATTTTTTGAGTTAACATATGGTTTATTAAATTGTGTAACACGAAAATTGCATCTACTGTACTACACCCCTTTCTGAAACCAAATTGAGCGTCTGACAAAATGTTATTCTCATCAAACCATTTTTCCACTCTATTTGTCAAGATACTTATAAATAATTTCCCAAAGTTACTTAGTAATGTGATGCCACGATAATTATTAACATTAGTATGATCACCTTTTTTATGAAGAGGTATAATAAAGCCTTCAGACCATATTTCTGGAAAATAGCCTGAATCAAAAACTCTGTTAAAAAGATCAGTGATATGGCCTACTAATATATCAATAGAAAATATAAAGTATTCGTTCAACAAGTCATCACTTGGACAAGACGCTTTGTTGCGGTTTAATCGCTTCACCGCATCTCTAACTTCTTCGCAAGATATGGGAATATTAAGCTCTTCGAAAGTAGGGTTACTAATATTAGGATCAATATTATCATTTGAAATATTTGCATCAAAATCAGTTGTAGCCCTTATTTCTTCAAACATATTTGCAAATAATGCATAAACACAAGTGTACTTTTGCTGCATTCAGTTCAAAAGGCGCCAAGTACTGCTTATTTTACGAAAATGAAAAGAAAGGCCGAATGCTGGCCTGACTTTTAGACCTGGTAAACTACAAACTGACAATCATTTGGCATTAAAAGTATAGAAAAAACCGGTACTGAACTGTTCAACCGTGTCCTTAATAAGTTTAACTGTAAGGGTAAAGGTGCACTGACAGTTGCATGCGGGATAAGTACACAAACAATGTAAAGTTTAATCCTTAATCGTACCACCCAAAGTATCAATATTATTTTAAATACAAAATAAACTTTGCGTTAAATAATGAAACGTAATGGTAAAGTAAGATCATTTTAGGATTATGTCTTAAGAGTTTAAAATAAGTCCTTGAAATTTTTGTAAGAGGATCATATTAGATCTGAATTCAGATCAGTAGTTCACTCGGACAGGAATTATTTTATAGGTTTAAATGATTGTAATAATTCATACGTGATTGATCATGTGTTCATTTGTTAATTAATATATTATGCTGATAATTTGGACTTCTATACGTGTACTGCATATGCTTGATTTTGTTTTAAATAGATAAGAAGGTATGTTTTATATCTGTTTGAAAGACAATTTTCTGATTTTATGTTTCATTTTTGTTGTTGTTTGTTGGTTGTTTACTGTTGTTTTTGTTTACGTTTTAAGGTTTTAATTCTTTTCTGATACGGGTCAGTAGGACCCCAAATGTGTTTGATTATTACATGCTAGCTTGTCTTGAAATGAACGCATAATTTTTATTTGAAATAGTACTTGTGTGGTTAGGACAACAATCTTAAGAGGTTATGTACGGCATAGCATTTTTCTTTTCATTTTCTATTTTGAAATCGAATTATCGTCACGACGAAACATGTTTCCATACATTTATCTAGTTTATTCAGTAATTTTTACTAATAACGTTACTGTATTGTCGTGTTGCTTGAACAAGCAATATATTTTAGACCTTAGAATGGACGCATTTTATACTTAAAATAGTATTTGCCATCGAAATGATACTTAAAATTATTGTATTTGCTAAATTCAAATTACATTTATTTACAACTTATCTGATTTTAGAATTTCTTATATTTTCAAACGAGTGTACTGTACAATTTTTAAAATGAAGTGGAGAACTTGTTTAATTCTTTCAAATCAAGTTTTGGTTTGGTATTTCATAATCAGTATCTGAGGTCTAAGAACAGGTGCGACGAAATTTTGAAAATATTTATAAAAACAAAAGGACCAATGATTTTATGGAGAAAACGTGGACTTAGTCTTTATTTTACTCAATTTGTCTGTACTTTGTCTGTTGCATTTGCAAGGAATATAATCGTAATTAAATGTGGTTTTTAAATTTGTATAAAAAGATAAAAAAAAAAGTCGGAACAAATCAAACAATGAAGATAGATAATTGGTTAAGATATGAGTACACATTGAGCTTGTCAGAAATCTTTTCAAGTTCGAAACAATTAAGTTATTATAAAGAAAAAAGCTATATACAATGATTTAAAAAAAAACAACAAAAAAACACGGTATAACACCAGTAAAGTTTATCTTACTTTCCTTAGACAGGGGTTGGGCTAGCTATATTTTCAAGGTCAAGATATACAGATAAACCAAGTCTTGAGATAAAAATCATTTATTTAAAAAATTACTTTTTTAGTTAATTTTGTTTTATTGTTTTGTTTCATAATGACTTTTTTACAATCTATTATTATGACGCATGTGCGTCAAGTAGATAAACGAATGCCGGGACAATTATGTAGAAAACAAACATTTTTATTGCTTATTGTTATAGCCCGATTTAAAGGTTAAGTTTTTAAAAGTCTTTACCACGCGGACCATCGTGTCCTCTCTCTTTACTTTACCATGTAGACCACACCTCCTGTGTTTGTACTTTACCATGCAGACCTCACCTTCTGTGTCGTAATTTACCACGCGGACCATCACATACCTCTATACTTTACCACGCGGACCATCACATACCTCTATACTTTACCACGCGGACCATCACATGCGGCTATACTTTACCACGCGGACCATCACATACCTCTATACTTTACCACGCGGACCATCACATACCTCTATACTTTACCACGCGGACCATCACATACCTCTATACTTTACCACGCGGACCATCACATACCTCTATACTTTACCACGCGGACCATCACATACCTCTATACTTTACCACGCGGACCATCACATACCTCTATACTTTACCACGCGGACCATCACATACCTCTATTCTTTACCACGCGGACCATCACACACGGCTATACTTTACCACGAGGATCATCACATGCGGCTATACTTTACCACGCGGACCATCACATGTGGCTATACGTTACCACGCGGACCATCACATACCTCTATACTTTACCACGCGGACCATCACACGCGGCTATACTTTACCACGAGGATCATCACATGCAGCTATACTTTACCACGCGGACCATCACATGCGGCTATACTTTACCACGCCTACCATCACATGCGGCTATACTTTACCACGCGGACCATCACATGCGGCTATACTTTACCACGCGGACCATCACATGTGTCTGTACTTAACCACGCGGACCATCACATGCGGCTTGCTTTACCACGAGGATCATCACATGCGGCTATACTTTACCACGCGGACCATCACACGCGGCTATACTTTACCACGCGGACCATCACAGGCGGCTATACGTTACCACGCGGACCATCACATGCGGCTATACTTTACCACGCGGACCATCACATGCGGCTATACTTTACCACGCGGACCATCACATGCGGCTATACTTTACCACGCGGACCATCACATGCAGCTATACTTTACCACGCGGACCATCACATGCAGCTATACTTTACCACGCGGACCATCACATGCGGCTATACTTTACAACGCGGACCATCACATGTGTCTGTACTTAACCACTTGGAAAATCACCTGTGTCTGTATTTTACCAAGCGAACCATCACTTATAGCGACTGTACTTTACCAAGCGAACTATCTCATCCTGCGTTTGGCTTACATTTTACTCTGATTTAGATTGTATATTCTGTAGAAATGTGGCTCTAATAATAACCTAAGAGGAGGTCTAAATATATTTTAATTTCTTTTTTTTTCCTTATTTAAATTATTTTTTATTTGCTGATTTTCAAACATGTTAAAATAGAATAATGATACAGAACTTGATCGGAAAAGCGCGATAAAGATTGGAGTGACGTCAATGCTGCGGTTTTTGTTAACCTTAGATTAAATAGCTTAAGGAAATTCTTACCGGCGTGATTACCTTTATTAGCTTTAAGTCCACATGCTTTATTTTGATACAAGGATCAAAGAAAGAAAATACATACATTTTTTCTGATATATACATGTTCTTTTTGTGTGTAAATTTAAAGATAAATGATAACAAAATTGATCAAATGAAAGTTATACCTTCTCTGTCTTTCGGGGCATATTTTGGAGACATTGCACTGACCTGTACTTTACCCGACCGACCGGTAAACAAATTCAAGTATAACAAGATTTAGATTAAAAAAATCTTTCCTCTTTTCACAGAATTGAAAGGGTTGATTTAGTCAACACGATGAGATAATTCTGTCCACGAAGTTTGGAACTACTTTATTTCAATGTCTAGCACAGCCGCCGCCCGGCAACGGAAGAGGCCAAGCTCACGCGGAGGAATATCAGTGCTTAAAGGACCAACGATGGCGCATGTAGGGTTTCAGGGCGCGCGCCATATGCACCCAGAACGTCTGCCGAGTGCTAAACGGGAGCGGTCTATGTCTGTGAGATTGTTCGACACAAATGAAGTAAGTTCATATATCTATACATTATGTGTTAGACAAATGAAGTAAGTTCATATTTCTATACATTATGTGTTAGACAAATGAAGTAAGTTCATATATCTATACATTAGGTGTTAGACAAATGAAGTAAGTTCATATATCTATACATTAGGTGTTAGACAAATGAAGTAAGTTCATATATCTATAGACATTAGGTGTTAGACAAATGAAGTAAGTTCATATATCTATACATTATGTGTTAGACAAATGAAGTAAGTTCATATATCTATACATTATGTGTTAGACAAATGAAGTAAGTTCATATATCTATACATTATGTGTTACATAAATGAAGTAAGTTCATATAATTATCTATAAATTGTATTATGCGTTAGACAAGTGAAGTACGTTCATATAATTATCCATAGATAATTATCCATATATTGTATTATGCCTTAGACAAGTGAAGTAAGTTCATATATCTTTACATCGTATTATGCGTTTGACAAATGAATTAAGTTTATATGTCTATACAATGTATTCTGCGTGACATACATGAAGTTAAGTTTATATATCAATACATTGTATGATGCGTTAGAACATTATCTAAGCTAATTAAGGTGACGGTGGAAGGTGGAAAAAAGGACGCTGTCAAATATACAAATAATTTTCCGGATAGTTGTACCCGAGTTTTAATTTTACAAAAAAGATTTCGAAATTCTCAAATGTGTGAACGCATTATATTTTTAATAATAGTGTGTTTGACACAAATGCATCAAATTCTTTATACAAAATGAATAATGTTGAAAATCCTGTTACTTATCTATGTGGGTAATTAAGAAAATCATGCTTAAATGGAAAAAAAAGTATTTTCCCCGATGGAATGTTTGGAAATAAATGTCTTAAGTTGTCTAAATGTCTTATTCACGATAAACGGCTACAATTCACTATTCGCCGTAACATCACGTACACTGTCAAATTTGTATTTAAAGACAAGAGGGAAAAAGTCTTCGTTTCAAGATGGTGTTTCAAATTAGGTCACACTTTATCCATGATGACTCTTGTAAATTGTTTGACTCTAATTAGTTTATATTCGACCAAGTTCAAATTGTGCAAAAATATGATATCATATCATGTTTTCTTTTAATACATGTATTTGAGAAACTTTTGAATTAATACTTTTTTTTTCATATTTAAAAAAAAGTGAAATGAAATAGAGAAAAACGGAATCCCATAAAAAGAGAGTAAAGAATACCTCAAACAGAAAAATTGAGAATGTTGCAGGCCCGGTTGATTGAGCCTGTTCATGAACGGTAGTGGTAATTGCAAGCTGCCTTGTTTTTATAATTTTATTATTATTTTATTTATTTTCAAAAGGACACACTACAGAGTATGGATAACCAGTCAAGTAATGTGAAAATATTGATGGTGAATGGACTTAACATGAACAATGTGAGTGAAGGAATTGTTGAACGAATGCAGTACTTACAAAAATTAGACCTCAGTGAAAATCAGCTAAATGATACAAGCCTGCCGGATTCGTTCTCAACGCTAGAAAATTTAGTGGAACTTAATCTTAGTAACAATAAGTTCTCTAAACTTCCGTCCGTAATTAGGAAATTGCGCAATCTTAGTAGATTGAGCTTAAGTCACAATACTATAGACAGTCTTAAAGGGCTAGAGAAGCTGAAAAAAATGCAAGTCCTTATGCTTGACCATAATAAGTTCACGAGTGTGTTCAAAGACATCACGCACATGCGCAAACTTGAAATATTGGACTGCAGTTTTAACAGTATTCGGGAAGTTGGGCTAGATATCCGCTTCCTGAAGAATCTACGCGAGTTGAACGTTACTAAAAATAGAATCTCAGTTCTTCCAACGGATGTGTTTCAATTAAGTTCTCTGGAATCATTGAAGGCCGGTCAGAACCAAATCTCGAAGATTCCAATGTTCAACATGAATCCTCAACACTGCCATTGTTTGTCGGAGATAGATCTGTCCTCGAATATGTTGAACAAGTTCCCCGGGCATTTGTTGGTGATAACGAAGAAACTTGACGTCTCTTCGAACAGGATTAAGACACTGGAGTGGAACAAGATGAAAAAGTTCGAGCTACGGACAGACAAGGAACTTAGTGTAGAGGGAAATCCACTAACGTTCCCACCTACAGATGTATGTGAATGTGGAATTAAGTCGATGATTCAGTTCTTTCAGGAAACACAACTGAGCTTGAAAGTTTATCAAGGGATGAAGGTAAAATACACATGATTTACACGGAACCTGTGTTGTTTATATAATTTTTGTAAATTATTTAAGATTTTTCTGTAGCGTTCATTAAGAAATTCGTAACGTTTTTTAGCTCACCTGTCACAAAGTGACAGGGTGAGCTTTTGTGATCGCTTTTCGTCCGGCGTCCGTCCGTCGTCCGTCCGTCGTCCGTCCGTAAACTTTTACTTTAAATGACATCTCCTCATAAACCACTTAGCCAATTTCATCCAAACTTCACAGGAATGTTCCTTTGGTGGTCACCTTTAAAAATTGTTCAAAGAATTTAATTCCATGCAGAACTCTGGTTGCCATGGCAACCGAAAGAAAAAACTTTAAATATCTTCTTTTAAAAAACCATAAGAGCTAGAGCTTATATATTTGGCATGAAACATCTTCTAGTGAGTGTCTACCAAGTTTGTTCAAATAAAAGCCCTGGGGTCAAAATTGGCCCCGCCCCGGGGGGTCATTGATTTTCCCTATATGCATATAGTAAAAACTTAAAAAATCTTCTTTTAAAGAACTCAAAGAGCTATGGCTAAGATATTGAGCATCAAACATGTTCTAATAGGTGTCTACCAAGTTTGTTCAAATAAAAGCCCTGGGGTCAAAATTGGCCCGCCCCGGTGGGTCATTGATTTTAAAAAATCTTCTTTTAAAGAACTCAAAGAGCTATGGCTAAGATATTTAGCATCAAACATGTTCTAATAGGTGTCTACCAAGTCTGTTCAAATAAAAGCCCTGGGGTCAAAATTGGCACCGCCCCGGGGGTCATTGATTTTCCTTATATGTGTATAGCAAAAATTTAAAAATCTTCTTTGAAAAAACCCAAATAGCTAGAGTTAAGATATTAAGCATGAAACATCTTTTAGTGAGTGTCTACAAAGTTTGTTCAAATAAAAGACCTGGGGTCAAAATTGGCCCCGCCCCGGGGGTCATTGATTTTCTTTATATGTGTATAGCAAAAACTTAAAATCTTCTTTGAAAAAACCCAAATAGCTAGAGTTTAGATATTAAGCATGAAACATCTTCTAGTAAGTGTCTACAAAGTTTGTTCAAATAAAAGCCCTGGGGTCAAAACTGGCCCAGCCCCAGGGGTGTCATTGTTTTTAACTATATGTGTATAGTAAAAACTTAAAAAAAATCTTCTTTCAAAAAGCCCAATGAGCTAGAGCTTAGATGTTTAGCATGAAACATCTTCTTATGGGTGTCTACCAAGTTTGTGCAAATAAAAGCCCTTGGGTTAAATTGGCCCTGCAACGTATGGGGGGGGGGCTTATATACAGGTGAGCGACCTCAGGGCCATCATGGCCCTCTTGTTAATTGCATCTCCATTCCAACACCTCTGCAGATGCTACATCATTTAAACAATTTTGTTTTACAAAAGTCAGAAGAAAGTATGAAGTCTGTTTCGTTTTTTAAATATTGTAAAGCATGTACATGTAGTTTAGAAATTTTGATCTAAAAACTTATTGCAATAACCTACAGATACATTTAGGATTTACATAAAGTATCAATATTTAACTGGTAATGCGTTTACACATAAAATACTAGTAATTTTGAAGTGTACAACTAATAAAAGACGTGATTCTGTTTGCATCCATCTGTTTAAATGTTTAATGGATAATCATCTTAAGACAATGTCTTTCCTTCAAAGATTCTTGTACTAGGTGCACCAGGCAGTGGAAAGACCAGTTTTGTACAAACTTTGGTTGACGGTCAGTCCAGATTATCTGAGGAAATGTACGAAAAGTCTGCTGGAATAGAGGTCAGCGATATGACCTTTGAGAACATTGCTGATAAACCGGAACCTCCACCAAAGGTCATGGTCACGAACGCCAAGTTGGAAATGCATAAGAAACGCTTGAATGGTCATATCATAGATGGCTCCAAGGACGCTGATGACGACACATCATCCAATGCGAGCAGCGGAGATAACAAAAAGTCATTGAACCTGTGTATTTGGGACTTTTGTGGAAATCCATTTTACTTGTATCCACATTATATGTTCTTTGAGCAGCCTGCAATAGCTATACTGACTTTTAATATGTATACATACCAACCGGAGAAATTTGAAGAAATGGTTAGCTCGTGGTTTGATTGGATGATTGCAAAAACCAACAAACTGGTTGTATTGTTAGTAGGAACGCATGCAGACAAGCTAAAGAAAGATAAGATGAAGTCAGTGTGTAACGAGGTGAAAGCCAAGCTGCAAGCTCATGCTGAGAAACAGCGGCAAATTGTGCAGAAAAAGATAGATGAAATTACAGAGAAGCCCCACATTTCACAAACACTATCCTCTCAGCTGAACGCTTACTCTTTACTGTTGCACGAGAAATTTGTGGTGCAAAGTGAGGTGATAACTACAAGTGCTGCTAAAAACACAGGTAGGTGATCTTGTGAGATGTCATAATATCTTATCTCCTGACCTGCTGGATTCTTGAATTGGAACAGTACATTCAAAGTTTAGGGGTTTCAGTATCAAAACATAAAAATGCAAGGTTAAAGAAATGCAACAATTACAACAGGAATACTGTTCAAATATCCATGATAGCAAATCAAATTGAAATAACAGAGCTCTTCATCATGTTTTGAAACTTTATTTGTACATTGTAATTTACATTTTTAAATGTTATTTTCTTCGACTTTTAATGAGAATGTAAAAAAACAAACAGGTCAATATACGCCATATTGAAACAACTTTCTGTAAAATTGGAACTAATGTGAACGTTAACAATTATGTGAAGTTACGTAAGCAAATCAAAGTCGCAAACTTTTGATGATAAAGAGAAAAATCGTGATAAAAATGCAAATCTCATATAATGTCTACACCATCTTGTGCCTAAGGGTAAACCGATCTGCCTCCAAGACTTGAAGAGTTTGAACTTGCTTTCGAAAATTCTCGTTTCATTAGTTTCCACTTTGTCTTAACTATGGTGTAGAAAATAATCTTGTACATGTACATGTAATACTTTTTTCAGGATATGAAACTATCGCAGCGTCAATTGAAATGCTAGCGAATGATGCCCGGCAATTTCCGAACGTTCTTCGGCCTATTCCGACATTTTGGCTAGATGTTGAATCGTTTGTGGAGGAGAGAGGTAACACAATGGTTGTTCCGATTGTTAAATATGAACAGCTTAGAGATGAGATAGGAGACAAATTTGGGATGAAGCATTTACTGAATACTATATTACAGTACCTCCATGAAACTGGAAAGGTTAGAAAAATATCTTTCTCTTCAGTGTGTTAATATTTTTTACAACTATGTACTTAAAATGTATGGTGGCTGTTTTGAACCATATACAGGTATAGTTTACCGTGGGTGGGCAAAATTTGAAATGGAAAAAATTTAAACCATATGAAATAAGATATGAAATGGTACGATTTTCTTTAGTTAAAATTATTTCCGTAAATTGTTCGTGTCTGATGATAAATAATGATTTCGACATTTGATATGCTAACAATAATTTTTCTTTTGTCAAAGAACGATATAGTTCAAGAATAAGCATTGATTTCGAAAAGAATTGTGGAATTCAAAGAAATATTATTAATGATTCAGGTAAAAGTTTTTAATGTCGTTTAAGATAATCTGAAGATATGATTATTATAGGTGCTATGGTTCCATAACAACGCAGCTTTGAAAGGCCACGTGATACTACGACCGGCGTGGTTCTTCGATATTTTCCGTGCAATTTTCCGTCATGACCTGAAAGAGAAACTTGATATAGAAGTGGAGGACAGCTTTAAGACTATAGGTAAACAGATATTGTATTATACTACATGCAACTATTTCTTGTCGGAGTTATCGGATGTTTCATTTCTGTTTTCAGAACATGTTTATTTCTTTTTCTACGCATTGCTTCCACCAATAGCTTGGCTCGTAAAGATTCGACAATCTTCGTCATTTTCCGTGCCTATTATATATTCTATTACGACAAGATTTTGTTCCAGATCAAATTGCCGCTTATTTGATCTTTGCAGGAGACGGAAAATTACAAATTGTGTCGAACATTTACGAAGTTATGTGGGTGTATTGCTTACATTTTTGATGCAATTCAGGAAATTCAATACCCTTATTGAAATAATATTAATTTTACAGAAACACTAACTTTTCTTCAACTTGGGATTCTTTTGCATTCTTCTTGACATTAACAATAAGTTGTTTCTTGTGCTCTTACGCATGCGCTAAATGTAACATAGGTTTAGATTTCAATTAATGAACTTCTCTAAAAAATTTATGCAACTGTTTTATATTTCTTGTCATGATTACAAAATGTGTGAAATAACATAGATGTACATGGTGGATTAAGGAATGCATTGCAGTTTGGAGTATATATTGTACTTTTGCTTATCACAAAGCAGCGTTTAAGGAACATATTTTATGATATATCTGTATATCTTGCATCTCTGCCTTACAGTGTTCGAGGATCAGACATCAGGTGATGTATTAAAGCAGCACATAACCCGTGCCGCACGGCTAATCTGTGCTTGTAAAATCATAACACAATTTGCACGATAGCTAGTTCTTTTAAGTCAGCATTTTGAGATTGTTAGCAGGGTGAAACCGCCTCTTTTTTTTAAAGACATCTTAAGAACGATATTTTCTCTGCTTAAGTGTTTCGTTGTAGAAATGGATTTTAAAAAACATTTAGTTCCGTTTCTTTTTAAAATTCCATTTGATGCTATTCTTTTAAACGATTGATGAAAGTGATATCGCCCTTTTTTTTTAATAAGAAATCTTAAGCATAAAGTTTGTATTCTGCATCATAATATTTTTTTCTTGTGATAAAAGAAGTAACTTCGTCACACCTAAAAAAAGATAAAAGACAAAAAAGAAGTTATATATGTTTAGCTTTTTATCTAATAATGTTTTTGAATTTACTGATTTGAGCTTCTTGACCATGTTTGGTTTGAAATGACGTCATATTTGTTGTATTGTCAGAAGTCACGTGAAACCCGTTTGTTTGATCACGTTGTGTTGAAGTGTTTTCCTTTTTTATTGTTATCATATGTGACATAGTCGTGTTTTAAGTATCATTTGCGCATTTGGGCCATTTTCTTCAAGCATTCTATCTAAAAAATTTCCGTAAGAATTCGTCCGACTTCGTCATTTTCCGTATTAATTAACAACTTGACGTTTATTCATATCCGAAGTGTGACGGAAAGAGCCGAGAAGATGCGAGTGGATGCTTCTTCGCAACTTCTCTCTTCCAAAAAAGACGAGGATTTCAAAATGTTAGTTAGATATGGAAAATGGCGTATTTGTCGATTTTTCACGGCAGGGTGGGAGGGGGTATTAAATTTCATTTATTAGAAATGTTATTACATGTAGTATTACCAATTTCTAAAGTCGTCATTGCACATGTAAGTTTACCTAATTTCTGTGATAGAGACATAGAGTTCTGTTCAGGGTAGAGTAAATATGTAGTTTAAGTCACATAGTTGGTTTGGTTAGACAATTGGTTAGTTAGAAAAAATGTGTCTTCTTCTGTAAGTTCTTAAAATGTATATAGACAGACTGATACATAATTTTCGAGCATTCAAAAATAGTTCTTATCTAATGAACAATAATGAGTTTAACTGCCATCTCATAATATAGTAATGTCATTATTTCAACTCATTACTTTCAATACATTCCATGAGCATATTGCTGGTCTGTTTTGCTGACATATAAAATGCATTTTTTCATATTGGAAAACCCTCACTGTATGTAGAACTAATAAGTTTCCGAATTAAAGGATAAAAAACACACGATACATTGACTATCAATTGTTTGAAAAATTTGAGTTATAAGATTTTATAAAAATATAATTGTATTTATACATGTAAATGGAATGCATCGTCGAGGAAGTCATCCATACATATGTAATTATAGCCATACATTTATAAGATCTAAGAATTATTTTAATGATTTGAAAATATGTATAAACATTTCATTTTAACTTATTCTACTATTCTTTATCAGGTATTACGCAAAGCAAGTATGATCAACTGAAAGAAGAGTTTCTAACGGAGGGTATTGTGGACAGGGACCTTCTGAAATGTATGCTATGTCACCTGTTGCCATTGGAGACCAATGGTCCATTCTACGAAGTACTTGACCTTCTTCTTGGTAACCTTGACCTCGGTTATCTCGTTTCTAAAAAGTACGAACTTATTCCAACAAACTATTTTGTTAACGTTTTGACATTACGTGCACTCTTTTCTCCCACATTTAACTGCATACTCTTTGTCCAATACGGAGTAAAATGGCCTCCAGTGAGGTCCAATAGCCTAAAAATTTAAAATTTGAACTCGTTTCATAAATCGACTAGTACACTTAAAATTGAAAACTATTCTATGAATAATATATAAATATGTTGGGTAATTAATTGTTTTTATGCGACTTTTTTGTCGATCCGAGTTGAAACGCTTAAATTCTCTTTTTGGGTCAATTTGGACTGTAAAAATGAGTTTCCCAATGAACTGAAGTGAGCGAATGATCTGAAATTTGTACACCAGTTGCCAGTTCAAAAAAATATTGAAATTTTGTTTCGGTCCCTCTGTTTTAAAAAATCCCAAAAAAATCGCAGTCGAAGTCATTTTATGGCATCATTAGCATGCATTGTGACATAAGATTTGTGTAGTTGAATAACATTTTTCGCAGAATACTACAAATGTAAATACCTCAGTCTATTTACCAGTGTGTTTAAAGTAATACTGTTAAGTTCATATGGCGACATTAAAGGCTTTTCGGGGAGATGAAGGTCTCGGGTATCTCATTCGTGCAAATGATCCGAAGTTAACTGCTTCTTAATTAACAATGTCATATAAAAATAAAAGTATACTCAAATAAATTTTCTGAAATAAAATGTTAGTAAACTGATAAAATAACTTACATCTATTAAATGTAGTTTCAAACAAAATATGTTTTTCTTTCCAGGTCACGGGAACCTGGATACAACCTTGACCCGGAAAAAGAAAGCATGCTCTCTCGGAAGTACTTAATCCCATGGTTCCGGAATGTAGCCGAGCCTCCATCAGTGAAGGAATTATGGGAACCAATTGCTGGAAACCATAGGCTAGCAGGTGTCTGCAGGTGCGTTATTTTTAAATTTGATTTTCGGAATTGTTATAATATGGCATGATAAATGAAAACGAGACTAAGTGATAAGTTTGAATCCACTTAATAATTATTTACATTGGATCTTCGGTTGTGAAAACGTTTGAAGTTTATTTATTACATTTGAAAATGTATAAAATAAAAAAATACTACTTCCTGGTGTTTGCAAATGAATTTCATTGTAAAAAAAACAGTGGGACCTGTCTAATGACCACAAGAAAATTTCGGATTAGAAAGGTTTCCGGGTTAGAAGCAGTTTGCATAAATGAACATTTGAAGGACAGAAAAGTTAAATGTATCCATTCTCTCAGTGAAAAAAACTCACTTCTTAGAAAAATAAGCAGGCATAGAAGAAAACATGTATTGCATTTTCAGGACTTTATTATCGCGAAAGTAAATCTCGCTATATTAAAGAATTCATGATTTGTTTTCAGGTTCCCAAAATACATGCCCCCTGGTATGTTTGAGATGCTGACAGTACGGGCGCATAGGGAGAAACACAGACTCCGGTTCCTGTCACACTGGGGCTCGGGCTTTCATGCTCGACACAAGGATGAAAAACTGCAGGTAATGTTCATATTTGTACATATATATATATATATATATATATATATATATATATATATATATATATATATATATATATATATATATATATATATATATATATATATATATATATATATATATATATATATATATATATATATATATATATATATATATATATATATATATTCACACATACCTTCACTTGTTAGTTTGTTTTACGGCTCACCAAAAGCACAATTAAGGTTATGTGGTTATGGAAGCAGGAAAGATAATTTTGGCTCATCTCGGGTGTAACACATTTTAAACATACACCAGGGATCAAAACCACCCCACCTCATTCATATTCCTTATACATGCAAATCAGAGTTCGTAGGCGTTCTCGTTTATTTGCACAAACAATTTATCCTAATTTACAAAGTATAGACAAGGAACAAATTGAACAAAACGTCAACTAAATGTAATTTCTGACTTAAATGAGAATCTTCTTTGAGACAAAATTTGCAAATATATGCAGACTATCGGGAGGCATTGAAACAAACAAGATATAGAGATCAGATTTATTAATTCCATATAGAAAACAACAAATAACACGGCTTGTCCGGAACATAATTTTTAATTGCATAAAGGGATTTTAATTTAACTTAGAACAGATGTTAATTATTTGTATGAGGTGAGGCGAAAAATTCAGGTCCGAGCGTTTAAGGTAAAGGTCACACATAGGAGTAAAAGTTAAAATAAAAAAAAATGAAGAGGTTTATAGGAACCATTAAGTCATTATTTATTGAGGGATTGTAACACAAATGGTCATCTCATGACTACCGCCATAGCGGCACTTGTAATTATGTCAATTTATGCAATTTATTTTTTTAACAAATTGGTCTTTTTTTTCTTCCTTTTCCCAAGACTCGTGCCTAGGACACGAATGGGCGCACATGCGGTCTTTCTCCACCAGACTTAACCATGTGACTTATATAGTGATAGTGTGACTTTTAATTATAATAAACAACGTCATGGTTTTATAGCTCACCTGTCACAAAGTGACATTGTGAGCTTTTGTGATCACTTTTCGTCCGGCGTCCGATCGTCTGTCTGTCGTCTGTCCGTCGTCCGTCCGTAACTTTTACTTTAAATTTCATCTCCTCATAAACCACTAAGCCAATTTAAAACTTAAAAATTTTTCTTATAAAAACCCCAAAGAGCTAGAGCTTAGATATTTATCATGAAACATCTTCTAATGGGTGTCTACCAAGTTTGTTCAAATAAAAGCCCCTACATACAGGTGAGCGATTTCAGGACCATCATGGCCCTCTTGTTTAAGTTTGTCGAGTTATACAACTTTGTTAACTGTGTTCTTGGTCCTGAAATGATTTCCCTCCTGAGCTGACACCAAAGAGTAATCAGGTATGGAATGTGCAAAAGTAGCGGAGAAGAAAGAAATGGATGAGTCTCTACGGTTGCTGAGATATGATTTTTTTAAACTTCATTAAGCATGGTTCAAAGACATTTCAGTACGTAAGAATATTTTTCTTTAAATGAAATGAAAAAAGTTCTTATTTTTGTTGTGTAATATGATATTCTCTGTAGTCACGTGGGTTTAACTCAGTGTAGATTTGTCTCTCTGATAACAGTTTGATAGAATGCTTTCACATTTAAACATATGCTCTAGTACTTAGAATAAAACCTATATATATTTAACAGTGTTATTGTTATAACTGACCATCGGTCATTCAGAAAATAGTACAATTTTTAGTTCAACGTTTTCGGAGAAATGAGCTATTGCTAGCTATTGCTACAGTCATGTTGTCGTTGCTGTTGCTATTGCTGTTACCGTTGCCTTCCGAAAATTAAGGTCGGACATATTGTTATGTGCTGGCCTTCTGGGACACGGGAAATCAGGCTTACTCTTGTTCAGGGATTTTAGCTTTCACGTGAACATGTGGCGAACAGTAACGTATTTATACATGTATATAGTTTGACCCCGCACTGCGGGCCCAAACAAAGACAAGTGAACTAATAATTATAAGGGAGTTATACGCTTTTTAAAAGAACTAAAATTTGATCGATGATAAACTAAGAATAACAGTTTAACAAATTTTATTCCAGGTATTCAATTATGCACATTTATTTGTAAGCATATAAATGTTGTTATAATAAAACAGGCATTCTAATCAACATTCTCTAAGCTATTATATTACCAAACTAAATCATCAACTTTTCTACAAACAATTTATTCAATAAATACTGAACGTTTGCTACTGAAATGCGTAAGTTCCGAAGTAAAACAAACATCTGTTTAAAGTATTTCTAAAAGATTATCTTACTTAAAATTAATCAAATAATTCAATGTAAGTATACATCCATTAAATCGTTATGTACAAATACCTATTCTGGAATTAGATCAGAGTTAAAAGCAGAAATGTAATGCTTTAAGTTTTTCCAGCTACGGCGTGACTTCAAACAGTAATACAGCGCCTTTTATACACGCGATTCAAACATAAACAACAATGTTTGTCAACAATTTAAACAAAAATAAAAGGGGAGGACCCATAAGCGGTTCAAACAGTACCGACACCAAAAACAGTTAATAAATAAATCAACATATCAATGAATAAAAATGAAATTAATGCGTACTTTTACCATAGGTAATTATTACAATATTCAAAAACAATAATAAGAAGTGAGTAGTAGATGTTGTGCCTATTTATAATTAAATACAAAAAACATTGGTTCAAACACTTCCCGCCGAAAAACCCCCAAAGAAAATCAAGAAAAATCAAGCAGAGCTAACATTTCACTATGACGTCACTTTAGTGCATGTATGACTTAGTTTCAAAGAAGCAAACACAATAGTAGCTTAAAGTCTTCAGCGTACCCGTTTATATAGTATGACATGACGTGAACGCTGAAGACAGACCCGTAGGAAAAAGTCCACCAATAATCGTGCCCGGAATCTGGCACGCTCGTATTCATTCATCGAACATGCCGTGAAGTAAAGTGAAGCATACCTTGAAAAAACTATATATAATCTGTTGATAACCAAGGATGGACAAATAAAAATCTTATAACGAACTTAAACTATTAGGTTTCCGACAGGTAAAACATTAAGCACTTTGCCGCCATATTGCCAAAATGTTTGACCACGTGATTACGACCGTTACGAACCCATGAGCTTCCAACTTTTTATAAATTACTTTTTTAAAGATCTTGAAAAGGGTGATTTACTGACTTCTGTATTCAATATAAATATATTAAGTTAAAAAAATATAAAGAAAATAAATAAAAACATTATCTTATATTATAAATATTGAAAGTACACGGCTCTACTCAAATCGGTTCCCGCGAATGACGTCATACGAGGTCTCGCGAAGCTTCTAAATGTCATGGCCGACTGTAGTCGGCGTAGTTGATGTTTTATGTTTTAATAGGCAATTTTAATGACGGTATTAATATTTTGATAATTTAAATGGTATACAAATCAATCTCAATATCAATTCATTCGTTAGTCCTTTTAACAAGATTGACATGTTGATTATTATCTCGATTAGGATTTTAAGAAGTTTCAAACTTGTAACTATTCAACCCTTATTATGAAAAAGTTTTGTAATATATACATGTAATTGCAAATACATTCAAGATAAATAAGTGCGACGTCATTATATTAAGCATTGACTCGAGGAAGAAATAAGCCAACTTACAAACTTATTAATTTGATAAACAAACTTAGTTTAGCAATGCATTTTTCATTTGGATCTTGGTTCACCAAAACAATTTTATTAACTAACTTGACAAAAACTCGCATTTGTAAACATCTATGCTGTCCCGATGACCACCAAAAATTATTCTACATCTTTCTCTGTCGAAACACATATCTTCACAACGTAAAATATTTAATGGCATGTTATCTACAGCCCATTGCTTTTTTCCTGTATAATCCAGCTGATGAAGATATTTTGTATCTTCTAATACAAGAACAATACCTTCACAAGCAATACATATACCACGTATGGTATAGCGTTCAAATTGTGAACTGAATAAATGATTTCCCTTAGCATCTATTGTAGTTATCCCTGTTTTTGTACTTAAGTAGATTCTCTCACCATTGTCACTTATAGCAATTGAGGGATTGTAGATTATCCCCGGATAATGATAGAGAACTTGTTTTTGTGTACAGTCTTTGTCATATTTGTAAATTGTGTCTCCACTGCTAACATAGAGTGTGTCTCCGTGACAAGCTAGACCGAAACAGTCATGTTCTAGGTTCAATAATTGTGTCAGGTTAATATTACCAGATATATTCACGTACTGTATGGTATTGTCTCTTAACCTAGCAACAGCTGTATCTTTGCCTATATAACAAACAGAATAGGGATTTTCAGGGACATCACAGTAGCTTATAACCTTGTACGAACTATTCAATTTCTTTAGTTTGTTATTCCTGAAGTCAGCAAGGAGAACTTCACTATTAGGAAGCATACACATACTACTGATAATACACTCAACTTTATCATTGCTGTCTCTATTAATTAAAGTATTATCTATACTAACTTTATAAGATCCTTTCATACTTTTGATTGCAAGACGATATTTCTGTTCATCATAAGACCTTTCAGATGTAACTTGTTTTATTCCAAGACATGTGCTTTATGGAAAGAAAAAAATAATATTATTTTATTGACACAATGTTCATTTGTGATTAAGAATACAAAAATAGATCACAGACAAAATTATTGACAAACACTAGCAATACAATCACCTAGCATTTAGCATGAACTTCTATGGTATTTTACACTGGTTTAAATGATATGAATGTAATTATAGACATTTAATAATACGGCCCATATTTCAATATGATGTGTATATATGTTGTGAATATGTTGTGTATATGTAAACTGATTATACATTGTAATTGTGTATTTTAGCTGTGGCCCACTTGGAATATCGGGAAACCGAATGTGTAAGCCTCGTTAAAAAAGGCGTTACTTACCTACTAACGAACAACGGGTTAACTTCAAATAAAATCAACTATAAACAATAACTATTCGTTTAGACGTATGAATAGGGCGTGTACGTTAAGATTTGTACAAAGGCATTAACTATGGAAGGGAATATCCGCAAATTTATTCTGACATTACAACTGAAAAAGTTTTCTATTGATAACTTAAAATTACCAATCGAATATCATTGTTGCTTTCTGATTTATTAATAATATCTTATTATTATATTATAATATAAATATGATTTCTCCGCTTGAGCGGCATTGGTGCCTATGTAAGTATAAAGTCTATGTAAGTCAGTCCATAATTATATAATATATCCGTCATTACTGGAAGGAATATGACTGTGCATTCTATTCTACAATAAGAATGCATATTTAACAAAGTTTATTAAAAATGAAGAGTGCACACTATATTGATGGTACATTTGTATACATGTGCCCGAAATAAACATTAATAGTACATATACTCAATTTTGATAGAAAAAAGCGGTTATTGCAGTTCTGTCCCACGAATATATAAAAACGTATGTACGAAAAAAGCTTGCATCCTTACTTGCATAAAATATATTTCTGGGTTCATTCATACACATTCGTTCAATATGTATATGCATATGCATGTACAGAGACGGCTTTCACTTTTATATTATATCATTTTCGTATATAATTGAATATTCCTATCTCAATTTCGATTAATTTCTGGTATGGATTCATTTTTTAAGCGCGTAAAAATATGGGTTGAATTTGCAAAAAAAAAACTCGCGCGTAAAAATATGGCAGCTATTATAAACGAATGTATGGACAAAATGGTTTGTACCTATACTTATGTACGTTTCGTGTTAATATATATATATACATGTATATATATATATATATATATATATATATATATATATATATATATATATATATATATATATATATATATATATATATATATATATATATATATATATATATATATATATATATATGTACAAATATATATACATGTATATATAATTCATACAATGTTTACAGATATATTACCTTTTATTTTAAAATGGAGTTTGATACATTCTCCAAAGAAACCATATCTGAATACGCTGACAATGTAATTGTTAAAATATGTATGATTTTAATTTCAAGTTGTAAATTTAAAAAAAAAGCGCAAAATAAAATGTGGCTGAATTAATTTCTAAAAATGGTAATGATTAATTTTGAATATGCTCTTATGCTCACCTGTGAGGTTAAATGATACACTTAGTAAACTAGAAATATCAATTAGAATTTTTAAAAAATTCTGTGTTTTTGACGATCAAATATATAAATTATTTGACTTGACATTTATTTACTTAGTGTAATTTATATCCAATGGTGGAATAAACAAAAACAAATTATATTTTTGACAATAAAATTTACAATTTATTTGACTTGATATTTTTTTAACTTGTGTAAATGTATTCATATCAATAATTTTAAGAATTGCACAGAAAGAAAGAAAAAAACGTTTGATAAAGATTTTCTTTTAAAAATACATTTGCTGTTGTTGCAGGTAATGTTCACTTACCAAAATCATGAGACCGACCACGGGACCACAATGAGGTTTGAATTCCGAGACGACCATGGCTCGGACCCGCATGCGGATCATGTGTCTGCAGCAGCCATGTGGACCATTCTTCTTCCGTTGTTGATGGACTTTGAGGAGCTTCTACATTCTTACACTGGTAAAATCACGGACACTTACCATCAAAATCACGTTTTCAGTTTTACAGTAACAAAAATGTTTAGATATGTAGAAGTAATTTTCTCTGTGTATAGAAAGTGTAGGGCGAATTTTACAACATTCAGAGCACGAAATTAGTGTTTTTATCTTCTCCGTAGCATCTTGATTTTGGGGAAAATTATCGCTTAAACTGCTAATTTTTGAGGTAAAAAAGCTGTTGTAAGTTCAGATATTTGGAAAAACTACATGATTTTAAAGAAAATTTCGTAATTTAAGTTGCCTTTTCTATGCCTCGGTTATATAGGGTGCAAATTACCGAGGGTCCAGAACGTTAAAAATGTGTTTGCTTGTTTTTGTAGGTTTCTTTAAAATATGATTTTGGAAATAAATGACATGTATTAAGGTGCGTTTTAATGATCTGATTGTCCAAAATAAAATACAATGTACGTAATAAAAATATTGAAAATAAGACTACATTTTTGATACAGGTGTTCTAGTGGAACGGTTGATGGAGTGTCCGAACTGTAAACTTTTGTCATTCACCGGTGAGTGGTTGACGCCGAAAGAGACTCAAGGGATGGCCACGCGCCCGTGCGTAGAGTGTAATGATGAAATAGACACAGCGTTTCTCGTGCAGCCACGTGAAAAGAAACGAGGTATGTCGTGATTCTGCAATAACCTTTAAATTTAAGAAATATAATTAAAAAAAAAACAACAACCAAAAAAAAACACGAAAACAAATAATTGGTTCTTTTTCGTTTTACCGATTTTATAAAAGTGACATTATGCCCTTTCAAGTATACAGGTCAAAGTCAAAATAACTTTAGATTTTGCCATACTTGTTATTCAATAACCCGCATGACTTACAAAAATCTTCACAAAAAACTCCTCAGAATGTAACGTTTACGTTCAATTGACAGTAACAAAGAGTGGGACAGTCTTTATATTTTATACAGTTTGATATTTTATCCTAAATATTTTTCATTGATCATTATGATAGTCAATCTTTTAAAATGCATAACCAATGCAGCTCAACTGTGCAACGAAAGAATAAGCATAATGCTACTTTGTGCTTTATGTGCAAAAAAAAACGGAAAAAAACAAGTACCCATGTTAGATAAGACCCATCCATGATTTATATAAACAAAGTAGTGTCGTTAGATAAGGATAACTATATTTCATGTTATATTTATTTATCCACTTTTTAGAGAATGTATCAATAGATAAACTTCAATATCTTTAAACAAATGACTGTATCAATCTTTTAGATGAAATTAATATCTTAAACAACTGACATTGTCAGAGCATACTTATGTTAATACAGTCAAACCTGTAGAAAGACCAACATTTGGAAACGGTAAACCGCTCAGTTGAAAGGTGCCTGTTTACTGTATACATTTAAAGTGAAATATTTTCTTTTTATAGATGGTGGCAGAATTTCTATTTGGTTCTTTTTCAATTATGGTCTTTTACACAGGGTTGACTGTAGAGTTTAGTAAAGTCTGAAAAATATCTATCTTTTTACAATTCATGTTGAGTTGTTAGAAATGGGCGTTGTCTTTGAATGACAGTCATTTGTATTCGGAATGTATGACGAACTATTTATGACATCATGTCATAAATAAGTAAATGGAAAATTAAGCAATTAATTAAGTTTCGATTTCGATGTTCATGAAAAATAATAGAACTCAAATAACTGATTTTAATACACTTGTATGTTTTTAAGGTATTCACGAAGATTTTGTAGTCATTAAATTTTCTGGTGTCATGTCTTTTTCTTAATATTTTATAAATTTTATAGATTTATTTACTTATATTTTATGCTTACAATAAAAGGAGCTGTCGGTTTGTTATTTTTCGATCTGTTTTTTCAATCGAAACATTGACAAAGAATTAAAATCGAAACTAGTGCTTTCCTCCTCAGTGACTTGTATCTTTTCTATTATTAAAAACTGATAATAACTTTATAAAACTTTATTTCTTGGTTAAAATAATGTCTATAACTATATTTTCCTAAGCTTTAGCATTACTTTTTGGAGATTTCGGAAATGATTCAAACTTTCTCTTCTTAAGGTTCTATATCCACCAAAGCTTGTTGAAAGATCGGCAATCTCCGTCACATTTCCGTCATATTCCGTATATAAATATTTTTTCGACCTTTGTAATCGGCGCTCACTATATTACATGTATGTGTTTCTAGAAAACGGAAAGTGGCGAAATGTGCCTGCGATGGATGTATACCTTAAACTTTTTTTAATCAAATAAAAACACTAAATATCTAAACATCTTTACATTCTTTATACTTTTGCAAGCGCCTGTCTTTTGACAAAAAAAAAACCACATATCAATACCACGCCATTCTAGATTTTCTGTGAGTTTTATTGTCTAAAGTTTAGTAAAATAATAAATATTACACATCAGAAAGCTATTGATACAAGCACGTGTTGCCGCCAAAATAGGGTCACACATGGCTGGCACATTCGTGCAGTTTGACCGGGCCATTTTCATTACAGGACTTTCACGTCCAAAATCTCTCTCATGATAACGAACTAAATTAATCAACCTCTCACTTCAAAAATCAAAAAGAGGACGCAAAAAGTTCCTTCATCACAAAGCATAAATGCATTTTGGATGAAAAATAAAATAAAATAAATACTTGTTATGGTTTAATTTATTTTAAACATTAGTGAAGGTCTCTTATAGTGCCCTTGCTACATTGCTTTTCGGCTTTTAGGAATGACTTTTACAGCAATGCTGAGCATGTTCTTATTTTATTAATTTTTTGGGAGTTGGTTCTTAGTTAAACGTGTTGATTAATTAATAATTAACTTAACATGCTTGTTTTTCAGTCGACATTAGTCAAATACGACAGAGAATTCATTCAGCACGGGAACAAAAAATCAAATTAGTAAATCACGTGGCATAATAAATCACGTGTTAGTTTTAGATGTTGTAAGTAAATGTGTGCATGGAGCGTACATAATCACGTGCGAACACGAGCTAATTATGTTATCCAGATCCACGTGGTTGTTTTAATATTTCTTTGTTTTGATTTCAACATGTTTTCACCCCATTTTGTTTTTTATTTAGCTTATTAATCAATAACCTTTTCTATTTTATTTCATTAATTTAGTTTTTCAGCGAATAATACTCTAACTTAGCCAGATTAGTTGTATTAATATAAAAATAATAGTTACTCTGTTTTTTGATTCACCTAAACAATAGGCTAACTTCGTGATTTTCCGTATGAACATATACCCTATTTTTGGTACGATTTGTCATATCGACGCTTTTTATCCATACGGAGAGTTACGAATTTCTTCCGAATTTACACGAACTACATTATGATTAATTTATATCCTTTAATTAACAGGATATTCTATAAACATTTGTCTCAAACAAAATAATTTATGTTAACATATTTTGTAGAATTTTAATTAAAAAGAACGTGACTTCAAAAACAGAGTAGATAATAAGTCAATATAATAAAAACACAATAACATGTAATAGTGTAACAGTGTATTTCTGCAGCAAACAAAATGTACTTATATCTAATATGATAGTTACATTACAACTTAGAGAAGCCAGTAATTGGTGGTCTCTTCCACGCATGAGTATATATAATGAAGTATTGAGTAATAGAGTATTTGTATTTTGATATATTGAAATCCCTTTAACTCCATACAAAATTAAGCAGAAAAAGGGTTTAATGTTGCTCAAGTTACCTCCCTTGACGACAAGCTTATTTATATAGTGTTGAACCAGTATGACACAACTCGAACGCAAAAAAAAAGATATAAAGTTGGGCGCACAATGGTCTAAAGTTAAATCTTGTAACATATTAATCTTGTTTTTTTTATATTTATTGGCTGATAACCAGTAATTTTTGAAAATCAAAATCCAGTCGGACAAAAAAAGCGACTGTCTGAGGAAGTTATCCAGCTATGAAAGGCCAGTGGCCGGGCCTCTGAGATCTTGAAGCTGGAGAAGTCAGCATATGACTGTCACAGTGTTCGGTTTCGTTTTAAACAAAATCAAATGAAATTACATGGACACATGATGAAATGAGTGGCCGCGAATAAGCCGAGTGCTTAATGCTTCAGAAATTAGTAATTTAAGTGTATTTTACTGGGGCCGTGCTGGGCACAAGTTCCCGACATTGACGGGTTGGGTTTCCTTAACCCTCATCACGGAGTTCGAGACTGTTTTTTAATTTAAGCTTAATAAATTACCCAACACTGGTCGAACTTTAAAGACAAATTCGTATAAACTTAAAATGGAAACTTCACAATTTCTTTTGAAAATTGTTTGAAGTTCAATAATACAAAAATGAGTTTTAATTTTTGCTTTTTTGCTCTTATCAAATTTCAAAATGAAGAAATATCCCTTGTTCCCTTTTTATGTATTAAACTAATTAAGTTTATTTCTTAGTTTTACTTCCGCTATAATGTGTAGACATTCTTTCTAAATACCAGAAATGATTTGCTTCAAGTTTATAATTATTATAATAACTCTTGTCTAAACCTGCAAACGATGCCTTTGTTGTATTCAAACTACATGTATAATTTTATGTACCAGTATTCAATTTGGTCTATAAAGAGCAGTACTGTGTATATTTATCGAATCTGCAATTTTATATATGTTATAAATCAAAATCTGCAATTTGTTATAGAAACCACAATTAAATTTATAAAATAGCCAATTTATAATTAAATCTGTGGTTTATTATGTATCCCAAAAATTGAATTTATGTTAAAGAATTCGCTATGTTCGACTTTACTCTGTACTTCAGTGGAGACAGTTCTAGAAAATCAGTTTTAAATGCAACAGTCCTGTAAATACCAATACAAATTGCATGCGCGGGAAATTAGGTCGGTAGATTCAAATATTTATACATATAGTTTGTGTATAGAACAAAGGCAGCGTTATTTTAATATTTTCTTAAAATTTCTTTTTAACTTTTCACTTTCTTATTTTGTTACCAGACTTTAGTATACTAGTGTGTGATATATAACCATTTTATATATTTATTCGGATATGGCATTACATGTTTTTACTTTTTCTAAGTAGGTGTTTATTGTCTTTAATTGTTCTCTATCAAAAATTGTGACATTTTGAAGTATTGCCTCTTTTTATTTCTTTAAATGTATTTACGACAATATTTTTTGTATCTATTTATAATTATTCTAAGAATAACAAATTACTGACCATAGAATTTTAGTAATTTTGCCGGGGAAATGCATTTAGCTTTGCAATTATAGTTATCGGTTGAATACATAAAGCATCGTATATCTGCTTTACTTGATTATCATGCATCCTATTTCTTGCTTTCCAGATGACGTTCGGCTTAATCTTGCGCGCATGCGCCAAAAACGCAGGGATGCTTTGAAAGGGTCTGCTGGATCCAAAATCAAGCAAGTTCAAGCGCCTGTTAGACATGGACGCCGAGCTGCCATTATGCCGACGGAAAGCACATTAATGTCACGCCCTAGCATTTCTACTGCAGGTGAAAATGACAGTCACAGTGACACAGCAGACGACAATAAAACGCGACCAACTGGACTTTTACCGGGATTAAATGAAGACGAGATGAACACATTCATGACTAAAATAGGCAACGAAGCTGATGATGGGTCAGATCACAGTGTAAGCGAAGATAATGGTGACACATATTCTGGTCAAAGTTCCGGCTTGCTTCCTGGGTTGAATCCCGGAGAAATGGCTTCATTAATGAGTAAAATAGGAAATGACACGGACAAAGAAAGCATTGCAGAGAGTGAAACTGACGAAAATGAAACTCAAGCTTCCGGTTTATTGCCAGGTCTTAACCTTGAACAAATGCAGTCATTCATGAGCAAACACGCACCAGAAGGTGAGGCAACTAGTAACAACGACAGTGATGCAGACGACAACAATGTTGCTCCAGAAATGGGTCTTTTACCAGGTCTTAATCCTGAACAAATGGCGTCTTTGATGAAGACAGTTGGAACGTCTAGCATAGACGACGCTGACAGTGTGCAAGAATAAACAAACTTTTTCTAAATAATGTTTTCTTTTCGAAAACCATTATGCGCACTCAGGCGATATGATTTTAGCGTTTTCTTTTGCAGTATAAATTCTTAGCTTGGTCATTTTATGAAATAGGTTTACTCTATAAATAATCATTATTCTAACATTCTAGATTTAAAGTGTTCTCCTCGTAATAAATGGTATTTCTTTTAAATATTATTTCTTAAAATTCAATTATGTGCGAAATTTTAAGGATTTTCAGGGCGTTTTCATTTTTGGCAATTGTAACATGTAGCTTAATTTTTAGAATCAGTTCATTTGCTGCAAAATAGCCAAATTAAGAAGAAATCTTTTTAACAGCTATTAAAACATGCCAAAGATAAAGGTCAAAGATTCACAAGTTTCCTAAATGCTCCAAAGGGGTTCAGAATGAGGACAGCAAAAATATCTAAATATTTCAGTCGTTGTATTATCGTCGCAATTTCAAATGTCTTGCAAACAGTTATCAAAAATTTCTGTCTACATCACTTTCAAACAAAACGTAGATGGTCATGTTGAAAGAAAAAAGCTGAATGATTTACATTACAATGACTGACATTTGTCCATATCTACGCAAATCCCGTCGTCATCTTCGCCATCATCATCATCATCATCATCATCATCATCGAAGTATAGATTAGTATTGAAGTTCAATATCACCTTAATGCTTTATTTTGGTTTCTATATATATCTTGCATCATTTATAGCAAAAAGTTTATTACAGTTGACACATTTTCCATGCTTTAATCAGACTAATTTGGAGCTACATGTATATTGTCCAAGAAATGGGTATTGTACGTTGAGGACAGGTCCTGTCAGATTATTTTTAATTTTTAGATTATGAATACATGTATATGTTAATATATGCTGCATTGGGTGTAAAATTTTATTTCAGAAAGTAGATTGTTTTAACTCTACGAATTTGTTAAACGTGTGATCAATTAATGAAAAAAAAACTGTACATGTATTTATAGTTCAGATGTATCCTTTATTATTAAATAAAAACGTCCGTATGCAAATCTGTTATATGAACATTTAAGTTATATATATTTATTTATTGTTTGAATTGTTGTTATCATTAATGACATTGAAGTATTATACTTGAAGTCTTGTGTTTTCGGTTCAGATTTCAGTGGGAATTAAATCTTGTAGATGAATTAAACCGGTAAGGTGTTGTTTCGAACCGTCTATTTCACCTGTTCCGGTCAAGTTGAGTTTTAGATGACAAAATGTTTTCAATAAGGACAACATTTTCATCCAAGTTGTTCCATTGGTCAATACATCTGATACGTTTATTACAGATCATACTTGATCCTAGAGGAAAGTGATCCTAGAGGAAAGTGCCTATCCATGGAAACCACTTTACCCACTGGACTTCAAGGCTTATTGGCAATATCTAAGATTTGGAAAGATGACAAAGTCTCATGATAAAGGTTTAGCTGAGATGTTATGTACATTTGTATTTTTTGGCGTGACCATTGCAAGGTCACCTGATATCTATTGATATTGTCATAATTCTTCAATGCAATGTCACTTGGACCATTCTTCACCTTAAGGCCATAATTCGTATACATTTTTATCTATTATTTAGAGGTTTAAATTATTATTTTTAAGATTATTAAACAATGCCTTGTTATTGTGCCTGCAAACAGGACAGTAAATCTTCATAAAGCTCTTTCAACAATCACTCAAGGTATCGAGCAATCTTATAACTCGAGCATCTAACATTTAAGACAATATTTCTGGTAAAACCAAATCTGCTGAAAACCCGACAAAATGTTAAAAAACTTAGAAATTACATATTGATCAATAATGAGAAAATGGGTTTTATTAGAATACAGGTCTACATGAAATTTTGTCTCGGGGAATTCACATGACTAATGTATCTACTTTTTGAATATTACTGAATACTGAAGAGCATACATACAAGTGACCAAAGCAGAGTTAGAATATCTTTTTCACTCAAGGTTTGGCTGCAACGTCCCCCTTTTTAATAAATGTATAAATTTAGACAAAAATGGACCTATCTTGCATAGGAATGGAAGTTCGTATAATGAACGCAGCACGAGACTAGCATTGGCCCTATTACAGTCAAACCTGTTAACAAAGGCCATACAAGGGAGATTATCGTGTTCTTTATCGGAAAGTGGTCTTTTTGGAGGTTATTTTAATCATTATAATCAATGAAGGGTTGTCACAGAATAGACTTTATTCAATTTTTTCTGTAACATAGATTTGACTACATGATTTGTATAACTTTTGTAGTGGTCCAATAGGTACTGCGTGCACCTACAAAGATGATTTAAAAGCGCTTATTGAGACTTAGTGATCCAAAAGTCGTAGAGCGGCATGATCGGTGCAAATTTTGTATGCTATATGCATAATATCTACGTCCTTGAAATTAAGATCTTGGGATTTTTAAGATTTTAACTTGAAGTATATTTTATGAGTCTGTGACTGGCCAATATACAAGGCTAGACCCATTTACGTAATTCTTTGTAGAGGGTCACCTCTGGATAATTGCAGAGAGGTCAAATTCTTTTTTGTGGTAAAACAGAAGTTGAAGGAAATTGTGGATAACCCAAGATAATGAAAGATACATGCGCGTATACTTCAAAAGCTCACCTCTGAGAACAGATGAGCTAATCACAGCCAAAAATAATTAAGGTGTGTCCCAAATAATCAGATAAAAACTTTCTCGGACTTTCTAGCTATATTGTTTGGTCCACTAACACTGTAATGGTCATATTGCAACTTTCCAGCTTTACTAGTGGAGGAACACAGGGGTGCCACAGAGTTTTGATTAAACTTTCCCTTAGAAAATACAAGAAAACTGAGTGATGTGTTCCAAATATGTACTACAACACACAAATCAAATGTACATTTTTTCTCATGAATGTTTTACTTATCTATTTTTCACACACATAAAATATCAATAATAAATAAGGGATTTACAATTTTCGTATCTTAATCATGAAGTTGTGACAACTTTAATACCGGTACACATATACATCTTAACCCTCTATTTTTGAAATAGCAAATATAACAACAAAACATGCATCAAAAATACTAAAAATTAAAGTACAAATATAAATTATAAAGACTAAAGGCAATAACATTGACTTGCTTAAAGTGACCAAAACTCATTTACTGTCCCCACTTTATACTGTCTGCTATCTAATTAAACATCTTTATTTTAATCTCCTTTTGTATATGTAATTTCACGAATAGTGGGTTCTATTAACTATGGCATATACCTGATGATCTAGAAACAGACTTTTGTAGTTCCTATTTTTTGGAAACTGTCCATTATCAAATGAGAAGAAAATAAGATGAAAATTTAAAATTTGTCAACCAACAGTATATAGCCTGTTCAGGCAGGCCTGGCCATTTACTGGTGGAAGCGGACAGTCCTTTCAGTTTAAACAGGGCAAGGTTTAAAAAGCCTTTGATAATGGTCAACATTAATATCTCTTCCAAATATTCATGCTGAGAGTGGATTCACTAAGTATTAGATAATGAATTACAAAAGTACATGTTAGTACATGTTTTTTACCACTTTCAATTTCCTTTGAAAACTATGTAAACGTAAATTAATAAATGTAAGTTGTTTAATTTTCTTTGAATTCTTCTACATTTATTTAAATTACAGTCAGTTATACTTAAACAATTTTCCAAGAGATGTTAAGGCATTCATGTACAAATGACACTGTATAGCAAGTTAAACAAGAAACATGGCAATGCCATGAAACCAGGTTTTCAATTATCACCATTGTAGATAAATATGTTGTATTTGAAACACAAATACAAGCAACAAACAATGTAACTATGTGCAATGTAAAACATGAATAATGTAGGAGGAATTGCCAATGAGTAGTGTTCACTATATATTCTGTATAAGGAAAAAAAACAAAGGGCCATAATTAGGTCAAAAATTATCCAATCACAAAACTCCGACAAAATGTGCCAGGGCACTTGATGACAAAGCTTCTGTGAAAGTTTGAACAAAATCCGTTGAAAAATGTAGGACGAGTTCAGCACAGAAGAATTTGTTCACTATATATTGATAATTCTGTATAAGGAAAAAAAATCAAAGGGCCATAATTAGGTCAAATATTATCCAATCACAAAACCCCGACAATATGCGCCAGGGCACTTGATAACAAAGCTTCTGTGAAAGTTTGGTCAAAATCCGTTGAGAAATGTAGGAGAAGTTGCGCAGGATAGAAATTGTTCACTATATATTCTGTATAAGGAAAAAAAAACAAAGGGCCATAATTAGGTCAAATATTATCCAATCACAAAACCCGGACAATATGCGCCAGGGCGCTTGATGACAAAGCTTCTGTGAAAGTTTGAACAAAAATCCGTTGAGAATTGTAGAGGGAGTTCAGCACAGAAGAAATTGTTCACTATCTATATTCTATTATATAAGGAAAAAAAACAAAGGGCAATAATTAGGTCAAATATTAATCCAATCGCAAAACCCCGACAATATGCCCCAGGGCAATTGGTGACAAAGGTTCTGTGAAAGTTTGGTCAAAAATCCGTGGAGAAATGTAGGAGGAGTTGCGCACAGAAGAAATTGTTCACTATATATTCTTTATAAGGAAAAAAAAACAAAGGCCATAAGTAGGTCAAATATTATCCAATCGCAAAACCCCGACAATATGCGCCAGGGCACTTGATGACAAAGCTTCTGTGAAAGTTTGGTCAAAACCCATTGAGAAATGTAGGAGGAGTTGCGCAAAGAAGAAATTGTTCACACTATATTCTATATAAGGAAAAAAAACAAAGGGCCATAATTAGGTCAAATATTATCCAATCGCAAAACCCGACAATATGCGCCAGGGCACTTGATGACAATGCTTCTGTGAAAGTTTGGTCAAAATCCGTTGAGAAATGTAGAAGGAGTTGCGCACAGAAGAAATTGTTTACGCCCGCCCGCCCGCCCGTCCGCCCATCCGCCCGCCGACATACCTCAATCTAATAACCAGTTTTTTCCTTCGGAAAACCTGGTTAACAATGGAAGTAAGCCATGTATGTATTGCACAAATATTCTTTTTTTTCAAATCTAAAACACTCACAAAACAAATATTTATCACATATCACAATATTTAAATTACATAATCATAAAAATACAAAAAAGAAAAAAAGATCTCAAACAACTATTCAAAAGTACATAGTTTAACCCTTACTTTACTGGTAGTGACTGAATCTAGCCGAGCGACCAGTGCAGACCAGGTCAACCAGCAAATGTGTGCCTTCTAATCATGGTCTGCACTGTTTGCTATTCAGTGGGTACATACTTTGAAAATTTACCCTAAAAATGATAAATGGTTTTATCCACTTTACAAAATGGACAAGTCCAGTTATGATATTCAGTATGACAAGGGTTAAAGTATTATGCATTAATAATAACTTTTACATATAAGAATATATTGTTTTATTATATACTTTGAAATGAAATATTGAGAAATATTGATGAAATAAAATGTGTATTTTCATTTTACGTATTTTCACTGTAAAAATTTATTTTTCACTGCAGTGAAACATATTTTCCGTATTTTCACTGGTGTCTTGCCGGACTACTTTCTTTTAAATTCTGCCAGTACTCAAAATTTAAGGGAAAGTCTTGCAAATTTTAATGTCCAGAAAGAGAAAAATGTATATAATAAACAGAAAATTCAAGTTTTTTTTCTATAAATACATGATTTATTTTCATCTTGTGGCATGAAAATTACCATATTTCACACTCGTGGCTACCGCCACTCATGAAATATTTATTTTCATACCACTCGATGAAAATAAATCATGTATTTATAGAAAAACCTTGAATATCCTCTATTTATTTAATTTTACCTATGAAATATGGTGCTATATCAGTCAAATATATTTCATATTTTTTAAAAATAAATATGAAATATAAATATGAAAGTGGGCGGAGTCAAAACTCATATTTATTTGAAGGGACTTCTTTCGCCATTTT